ATAAACTCATCAAATTGCTACTTAAAGTCATTATAAAATTATAATTCCAATAGAGTGACTCAATAATTAAAAACTTGAGATTTTAAATTAGAGATCTTAAATTCGAATCTTGACTCAAAAAAAAAGAAATTAAAAGAAAGAGAAGGATTATCCTATCTTATATAATACATTTAGATATATATAAAAAAAAAGCCATCATAAAATTATGTAAAAAAACTTGTACATTTAGATAACTAAATCATAAATTTGCTAACCTTAATAATTTGGGAGAAGTTTGTTTTAATTTTTTAGAAATAGTTATTAATTATTAATTTTAATCAAACAAATTAGATATTTTAAATTATAAAAATAATAATAATTAATTAATTATCAACTATCAATTATCAATTATAAATTGTACTGAAACAAGCAATCTAAATAGCCTTTTAGTTGTTAGAAATAACCATTTCAAATTGTCACCAATCAAATTACACAAATAAATTAATAAAAAAGTGTATATAAATGAAGCATGATACAGACATAATTTTATTTTAAAATAGAATATTATAATTATGATTTATCCATTCCATTCAAAATGGGATCAATGAAATAATATGCTAATAATTCTTTTATATGATGATTTGTATAATATGACATGATATTTTTATAAATTTGGTATTTTTTTTATTTCAAAGATCAAATATAAATTACTGTACACTTACTCATTTAATATTATATTATATTGTACAAGATATTTATAAAAATTCATTATACTTATAGTTTTATCGCAATGTAAATTAATATACTATCTATTTATTCCTGGTAATGTAAATATTTGTAAGACTTCTTGAGAAATAAAGTTTTTAAGTAAATTTTTTGAACATGTCTAGAAGTGTATGTTGGGTTTTTTGGATTAATGCAATAGTTGTTATTTCTAGAAAAGAATACAAAATTAGGTATAATAGTATTCTTTTGAGTTTTGCTGAAAATATATTTTATTTAACTGTAATATTATAGTTACAATATTTTGTAAAGTTGTAAATTTATAATTATGAGTTTATGTATATAATACAATGATGAACCCTTAAATAAAATAATTTAATTATATAACGATATCTTATATTGTAAGTTTATAATATCATGAGATATTATAATTATAATATTTTATTATTTGTTTAATTGAGTTTTTAATATTTTTAAAGGATAAATTGTACTTTTATTTAGGATTTTTTTAACTATGGCAGCTCAATATTCTTATCATATTTTGGATTTATTTTTGGGTAATTTTCACTAATTTATTAGTACTGGTACATTGGAGTACACGTGAAAAGGAAAGCATACAACCACAAGCAAACCTTTAGTACAAATAAGAAGACAATTATTTAAAATTTTTATAATTAAGAATGTCCCTTTTAAAAAAATTTTAATTAAAAATATGAATTTTGTGAATTTAGTAATTAATGCTATTATCTTTCAAAAATTCTAATTAAAAATATAATTTTATATAGTCACTTCATTCCTTTATAAAAGAATTATAAAAATTATATCCTTAATTACAAATTTTTTAAAAAAATAATAACTTTAATTTTTTTTTTGATAAGGGATTAATAACTTTAATTAGTAAAACAAATACTATATTCTTAATTTAAAAAATTTTTAAAGATTATATTCTTACCAAATCTTATTTTAAAAAGGATAATTGATTGCACAATGACTGACTTGTAGTCTCGGGTGCTTAAGATTACAGCTCAATCGATCTGGAAAGGACATTAAATTATTATTATTATTATTATTTTTTAAAATGAAGTTGAAAGTCATTGGTTGATGTTGGTACGCGTGGCGTTTTACGGTGAAGAAGGGACGGGAAGCTGAGGTGGCAAAAAAGCGCAGAGGAGGAGTGGTGGGGACCAGCTTAGCTCATCTGGGCCTTTTGTGTCACACCACAAGCTTGCAGGCTGCACCCCCACTTGGCCAGCCGTCATTGTCTCATCTTGTTTTTTTAGAGGTCAGAGATATTTTTCGATTTTTTCCCACAAATATTTTTTTATTTCACTTCCCCTTTCTCATTCTACAATACACAACTGGCAGTGCATCTCACGCTCTCCCAATAATTCGTGTCATCTCACCACTTTTCTATGTTCAGTGTTGGTTTGGTGTAATTGAAAATTTTAATAGATATTTTCTTTAAAATATTATTATAAAAATATTATTTTTATAATTAAAAAAGTAAAAATAATGTATTAATTTTATCAAAATTTAAATAAAAGGCTCATATAAAAGCATCAATTTGATATTTTTAAAATTTATAATAAAATAAATAAAATATTAATTTTAAAAAAATTATAACATTTTTCATAAATTATAATGTTTGATATACATAAAGTTTTTAAAATATAAAGAGACTTTTCACAAACTGTACCAAATATAACCTTAAAAATATTTTACAAAAATATATCATTAAAAACACTTTTTTATATAAATATTACTAACTTTTATGTTAGAGATGAATTAACAGTCATACATAATGCCGAATTCTCAGGAAAAAAAAAGGATTTAGGCTTTTTGTTTGTGATTATTATATTGTGATTGTAATTTTTTTTGTCCTTTAATATTTTAAAATATATAAAATATATTTGATAAGAGTATTTATTTTAATTAATATGCTAAATGGTCTAAAGATAACAATAAAAAAACCACCACAAACCAAAACAAAAGCATGGTACTTAGATTTACTCTATTAGAAATTATAAGGATCTTTTGTTAGTATTATTGTCTAATATTTATGAATTAGATAGTTTGTAAGTATTTATAAGACAAGTTATAAATTATATTCATTGTCTATAATTAATGAAGCAATTTAGACTTGAATATTTATATAATTAAGAATAATTGCAATAAATTTCTTAATTATTAATAACTTAATTAATAATTGTATAAAAATGTTAGAATTTTTTATTTTATAATTTAAATTATACTAAATTATAAAATAAAAATCATTAGATGAGGAAGAAAATACTTAATATCAGGGATTTATCTCTATTTAATAGATAAAATTATATAATCTGAAATAATTCAAATTATACAATATTTTTTCAAAAACTTTAAATGCCAATTATCTAAAAATGAAGGAATTAATTCATAACTTAAAGTTTTTGATAAACAATAGTAATACTAAAACAAAAATAATAAAAAGAATAGGTTAAAATCTCATTTTAATCTCTCTATTTTAACAAAGAAAATCTATTTTTAATCCTTTTACTTAAAAAAGCCTTTTTTTAGTCTTTAAAATTTATTATCTAACCCCTTTTTAGTCAATTTGTTATCTTTTTACATAAATGACATGTTAAATAACAAAAATTATAAAGTAAAAGAGTATTCTTTTAAGTAGAATGACCAAAAAAAGATTTTTTTTTTAATATAGGAACCAAAATGAACTTTTTTAGTCATTTTTTTGTCTCTCCACTTTAGAATTTTTGTTATCTAATGTGTCATATGTGCAAAAAATAACATAAAAACTAAAAGAATGTTAGATAATAAACTTTAGAGGGTAAACAAATGCTACCTTAAGTAAAAGAAATAAAAAGGAATTTTTTTGTTAAAATAAAAATACCAAAATGGGGTTCTAATCAAAAGAATATTTTTGACAAGTTTTCAAGCGAGGAAATATATAAATAGTTTTTCATTTATATTGTGGGTGTAATGTAAATATTTAGTGTATTTATTACTCTTTTCATTTATTTTTAGTAAATTTATTTAAATTTTTTTACGTTTTAAATATAAATTTTAAATAAAAATTTAATATATTATATAAATGATAATCAAAATTTTTTTATCAAATAAAAATATTTAACAAAAACTTTATATAAAAAAATTTAATTGTTATTTATATAAACCATTAAATTTTTATATATAATTCATATTTAATAAATTAAAAAATAAAATAAATTTATTAAAAATAAATAAAGAGTGTATTTTTTTTAATCAATTTGCACAAAAATATAAATATAAACTTTATTTTAATTAATTATCTAATTAAAATTATTTATATAATAAAATATTAAAATAAATATTAATTTTTATAATTTTTATATTAATTAATTATAAAATAATATATTTATTATACCTTTTGTTATTATTGTCCTAAGGGCAGAAAAAGAGTGCAAATAAACTGAGAGTAGACAGGCGCGTGGGATTAGAGGGAAAGGGAAAATATCTTTAAGTGGCCACGAATTTATCACATTTATCAATTATCCATCCGCCTCTCAATATCTTCCACAAAATAAACGCGACCGGAAAATCTTAGAAATAAATCAAACAGAAAACCAGGGGTTGCCGCGTGTCCCGCCGCTCCATTATTCTCAGCCACAAAATTTTCACCACTTATCGAATTTTCCTTGAAAATTAAATATATTAGGAAAATGCATCTGACGTGTCTTCTTTCCTCCTGCTTTTGTACATATATATCTTTACTTTCCTTGCTCCCTCTTGCGTTTCCTCCTCCTTCCCCCTTCTGTTTCTGTATCTTTCCATCAATCTATCTTTCTAGTGCTGTCCTCTTGATTCTTCCTGATTCTTCTTCTGTTACTTTTCCTAGCCTTTTCTGGTAAGCTTAGACTTTTTCCGGTAATTTCGAATCAGTCTTTCCGGTAGCTTCTTCTTCATTCTGTGAAGTTTTTCCCTCGTCCGGAAGATAATCTTATCCGGAGCAGGTGAGTTTTCTCTTCTTCTTTTTTCTCTTTTTAATTTGATCTCTCTCTTTTTTTTTTTTTTCTTTTTATAGATGATGGGTTGCTGTTTAGATTTTTTGTTTGGCTTTGGCTTACTGTTTGGAGAGGAAGAGAAAACAGGGGGAAATGAACAGGGGGACTACATAGTTTAGGAATTGTTTACAAAAAATATATATATAGTTTAGGGATTCGGATTTAAGATTTGGATATTTGAATTAGAGATATTTTAATTGGATATGGAAATACAGAACTTGATTTGTATACCATATCTGAAAAATGAAGATATTTAATTTAATTTTTCCTTTTTTGGGTTTTGCAGGCAAGATTTGAAGCTAAGATTCTGTGTAGTTACTGTTGGATGGCTACTGAGGTATATAATCATCTAAGATTCATTTATGACCTGGAATGGATAAATTCTTGTTATTATTTTTTTTTCTTTGATATATATGTGTGTGTAGATAAGAATCTAAACATTAAGTATGCAGTCTTTATTTTTTTGGGGGGGACGTAAGTATGCAGTCCATTTAGTGTGGTTCTAGAGTAACAAGAAATGGATATCTTTTGCTGTTCTCTCCAATTAAATTAAAATTCGGCAATTGCTTTTTTTTTTTTTTCAATTATTGGGTAATTTCTGTGTGGTTATCAAATTATCAAAGGTAGCTGTATTGATTAATATGTCCAGTTTTCAATGTTTAGCTTGTATGTCGCTTGTGCTGACAGTGTAGGGTATTGTTTGCAAATTAGCATTCATTAAGGGATGGAAATGGGCATTCATTAAGGGTCATGCAATTTGCTTTGTTGAACTTAGTAGTTTGTTGAGTTGGTTCGATGCTGTAGTTAGAGAAAGGGATAGGGCAGATCTTTAGGGTTCATAGAAATTTTACTACATAAAACAATATTTATTAAATTAACATAATATGATCTTAGCCAGGGGAAATTTTTTGTTCTGGAGATCTCTAAGGTAAAATTATCTGTTTACAGAAAATAGAAGTTGAGGGCCTAACACTTAACAACCAGATAAAATTCAAGAAAATAAAGTTCAGTTTGCCCTTCATTTTGATAAGAGAAGAGTGTCAATTACGCATGAGAAAGTGATTGGCTAAGGATTCCTTCATTTTGATAAGGAAGATTTTTAATTATGCATCAGAAAGTGATATGCTAAGTGTCTGGAAATAGATCTCCATTGCCTGATTTATGGCATATTAGCCTCTGCCTATTATCTACCTCAACTGAATTCTTTTTCTTGGAGCAAATTTACTTCTTGATTTCATTTTTTAAAGGAAAAAAGAATATCATGCATCAATTAATTTTGATACAGGATAAAATTGAAGGGACAATGTTAGAAGAAAGCACTGTCAAATCTGGTATTTGCAATTCCAATTGCAGCCCACAATCTGAGTCCATGGACCAACTGAAGGAGTTACACTCATTTAAGAGTGATCATACACCCAAGGTTCTTTTCTCTCCCTAGCTTGTGAATTTTATTTATGTTTCAATAAGGGTTCTTTGGAAACACTTATGTTAATATACATTTACTTTGTTGCTATTTTTGTTCACCATTGTCCTCTGTTTTTCACCCACTTCAACAGGTCAGGAAACCCTACACAATTACTAAACAGAGAGAGAAATGGACAGAGGAAGAGCACCAAAAGTTTCTTGAGGCTTTAAAAATGTATGGTCGTGGATGGCGTCAAATTGAAGGTGAGTCAAGTGTGAAGTTAGAAATTCTACGTTGTTTTTTGTGTTGTTCCAATCAGATAAAGTTGTTCTTATACCTATGCAGAGCATGTAGGAACCAAAACTGCAGTTCAAATTCGAAGCCATGCGCAAAAGTTTTTCTCTAAGGTTGATTTTAGTTTATTAATAACTTTTCACTTTACAAAAATACTAATCATGTTGCCTCTTGCATTTACATGTTACCTGCTCTTTATTCTAGGTGGTACGTGAATCAAATGGTAGCTCTGAGGGCCCTATCAAACCAGTTGAGATACCACCTCCTCGTCCAAAAAGAAAGCCAATGCATCCTTATCCTCGGAAATGCAGTGATTCTACCAAAGGAATGTCACTAGAAACTCAACTAGAGAGGTCTCCATCCCCCAATGAATCGGTCAGAGAACAAGAGAACAAATCACCCACATCTGTTTTATCTCCATTTGCTTCAGATGTTTTAGGGACTGGAGTCTCAGAGCAGCAACATGGATGCTCTTCCCCAACTTCTTGTACTACGAACATTCAGTCAATGAATATATCTCTTGTTGAAAAGGACAGTGAGTACGTAACATCAAACTCATCTGCGGAGGAAGAGAAATTATCTCTGTTGTCTGTTCAGGTGTCTGCTCGTTCAGCTCTGGAGGACTTTCTGTCAATGGTAAATTTATGGCTTGATTTTTTCAGTGGTACAGCATTGTTAACCTTCATCTTGCCTAGGATTTTGACTCTCTTTGTTTTTCATATGTTATCCAGAAGTTCAATATGAGTTCCAAGGATTCATTATGTGCTAAACAAGATGCAGCAAAAGTCATGCCTTCTACTAGCATTAAATTGTTTGGGAAAACAGTTATGGTAACAGATCCTGGGAAACCTTCTCCTAGTGTGGAGAATTTGAGATCACAAATTTCTAATTCCAGTCAAGAGAACCTTGATGCTGATGGTGAGATGGTTGTTCAGACCCTACCATCAAAGCAATTAGACAAACATTTATCACTTGGTTCTTTCATCAGAGAGAGGAATTCTGAGCTTTCTGGACATGCTGTCTACCCTAACATGGAACTAAAAGTAGCAAAAACTGACATGGTGAAACCCACACCTGATGCTCCCATGCCATGGTGGGCTTTGTATCAAGGTCTGCCCTTATATTACCTAACATCATTTAAGCCAAGCTCAGTTCAAACCCCTAGCAATGCTTGGCTCAGTGAGAGCCAGAAAGAGAAAGAAATTCTGAATGAAAGATCTTGTACTGGTTCAAATGCGGGTTCAGTAAGTCAAGCAGAAAATAGGGAGAAAAATTCAGATTCTGTTGATTCTCAATGTCGGCGACCTTGTTCTGAGGGAAAAGACAGCCCTCGGAGGTGTACAAAGGGATTTGTACCTTACAAAAGATGTTTAGCGGAGAGGGATGTGTCGTCACCGGTGGTTGGCTCCGAAGAGCAGGAAAGGCAAAGGGCCCGAATATGCTAGTAGTGTGCTCACTGCTGTAGCATAATGAACTAGTGAACAGGTTCAACTAATTTAGGTAGTGGGACGATGGCCAATAATGCTTCAGGTTTTCACATAACAAAGACGATAGCAAAGAACTTTACGAGATTCTAGTCTACTTTTCTCGTGTTTTCTTTCTCCGAATGAGCTCTATTCAAATTGCATATACGTTTGAGCATACGGATGCTGAGAAAGCTGAGGAGCTGATTGCAGTTTAACGTGGCTAATAGCTTAAGAGGTTGGATGGGCAGTGTGATAGGTAAAGATGGTCAGTTGTGTGTTCAGAATTTGAAGTTCCATTCTAGTTTTTACACTTTGAGCGGGGCAGTTGTTCTATACATAACGTCTCGATGCTCCATTGTGTTATTTAGATACTGAATGTACCTTATTTTGCAGAATTGCAGCAAATTTTATAACTTTTATGTTGTGAAGTTGATTTTTTTCATTGATATTTTTTGGAACTAACAATATTTTACGTTCTGCCAATGTAAGTCTCTTAGTGGTCCATTACTTTCGGAAAGCGACATCTTCTATTTTGGATCTATAGTTTACAGAACAGAGGGATTTCAACATAGAACCTCTTCTATTCGAAATTATGAAATTCGTATTTACCAAAAAAAAAAAAGAAAAAAAGAAAAAAAAGAAAAGAAATTAAGAAATTGGTTGCAAAGCAAATTTAGTTAGAATAAAAGGGGTTTACACTTTGTATTTACTACAAAAAGGAGAAAAAATGGTCTTGCGTCCCAGGTTCTAATTACAAGTCTGGGAGAGTTCTTTGGTTGAATAAAAAGGGTTTTTATTTGGGATCAGATGGAGTTAGTCTGCTTAACTATTATAGCGATTCGAGTCCTTGAGTCTAATTCCAGAATCAAAATTTAAAAGCTAATGGACGCCAACTGTTGTTGGTTTTGGCAAAGGTATGTCTCGAGGAAAGAAGTTCCTAAAAGTTTAGTCAACATCAAAAAAACAGTAATGGAGGAAGGCTAGGCATGCATATAGAAATTTTGGATGGAAAAATCTATAATACAATGGTGGTACAGTCTGATGTGCTATAATGGACCAAAGAAATTTATATATGCAAATAAAATTACAATTTAGTTCTCTCTTGTTTAAATAATCTCACACAAACTAGTGTGAATTTTATTTTTAATGACATGTTAAATTGTCATAAACTCCTTACGCTAGAATAGGGCCAAACCATTAGCTTAAAATGTCTATTAAGTATTAACAATCTTTAAGATTCAACCTTTGTCATCGACATATAAGGGATGTTAGGGAGAACCAGAAAAAATGAAGCAATCTGAACTTTAAACCCTAATAATGAAAATGATTTTGTCCAGGGCTAAAAAGTGACCTAATGTCAACTTTTTAGGGTGCTAGAGCAAAACAGAGATTGAAATCTCACTTTGCAACTAAATTACTCAATCAAGCATACACTTTTGTTACTTTCAACCCAAAATTGAAATGAACTTCTCAGTCTCGTCCTGAAACATATGATAGAAGATGCATATGCAGGCGTTGGGACAGACAGAAAGGCCAATTGAGGATAAATGGATGAAATCCCTTTTTTTTTTCCCCTTTTTTCCTTTAAGGGTATTTGGTTAGCTAACCTGGAAGTCCAAAAAGAGCTGCAATTTCTGCAGCAGCAGTTCACGAGTTCCAAAAACAGGTTTTCCACAATTAATCCAATCTTTTTGAAGATCACATGCTTTTGCACTTCTCAACTTCTCCTTTTGGAATGCAGACACAACGCCGTATATTGAGGTCCTTAGAACATCAGCCATGGCATATGTTTTTGAATATTGCTGGTTACCTCTCCGTTTAGCAGTTCCAATATCTCTTCTTACTGTGCTTGATGTTGCCCATCTAATGCCAACGGGTGCCATCAAATAATGTGGTTGCAAACTGAATTTTTTTCCCCATAAATGCTTCAACAGCAAGCAGACAAGATAATAGTGTTGAGAGAACAGCAGCATTGCTACCAGAGAATTGGGCAACTCCAAACCTGTCTTCCTTGTGTGAGCTGATTGAGCACACCATGCACATACGTGCAAAATTGACAACCTTCATAACATTAGTAATTGGCATGCAATTAATAGAGGCTGCCTTCACTCTCACGTTTCCCTGAGGCCTGAACTTTTCCAGACTT